TAAGGACTTAACAGAATGAAAAAACTAGAGCTGGAAGTTTTGGTGTAACCTGAGGTGATTTTCTATTTCATGGCTGCAACATTCAGAGTTCCCATCATTGCAACAAAAAATTCAGCCTTTGAACCTAAAAACTTGGATTAAGTTCACTGTTGAGGTTTTTTTGTTTGTAAGAGTTTTATGCATCATTTTCTGTTGACTGCACCAGGAATTGTGATTTTCAGTGGTCGATATCAACCTGTTTCATCATCATTCAATGACTGTCAGCTCATGGAATTCACATACTTGTTATGTTTCAACCATCCAGGTTGGTACTCAACTAAACCCAGATGCCAATGTTGCAGTTCCTTCAAAGGGTCTCCCCAAATGGGTTATACCAGTCTGTGTAGTTAGTGCTGTTCTTCTCTTGGTACTAATAGTCTTTTGTCTGTACAAGGTAAGTGAGCAGGGCATAACTGCTTTTCATATTTTAATGATATAGTAAACTTAGCATAAGAATATACGAAAGAGAAAATTAAAGTTTGTGACATACTGCACCTTGTATATTGCTGTCTCGGCAAGTTGATGTGACCTTATTTTCTCTCAGTCTGTGATCATATGTACCTATTTAAACCAGTTTGAATTTGGGAATGTTCCAATGACAGAGACAAACACTTTCTCAAATTTCTCCATTTTAGATACAGAAAAGTACTGCTGAACTTTGCCACTTCCTTGATTCTAAAACCCTGTGTATATAAGATCAACACAGTGGCTGCAATTGCTAGAACTAGTCAACCCTTTACACCCTATCATCAGTATGCACATTCTCCACACTGTTATCTGTACAATTGATAAGATGCTGACAAGGAGAATGTGTTTAACAATCAAGAGCTTTTTTAGTTGGTGATCATTTCCTTGATTATTGCGACCTTAATGTTTGATTCAGGGGTGATATTTAAGGAGAAATTAGAAGCTGGTCACTCTTAGGGTTTAAAAGGCAAAAAAAAACCTACTACTTGGCAACTGGACGATTACAACAAATATGATTTCTAGGATAGCTAGACTTCATGTCATCTGATGGTCAGTTCTCATATGAATGCTATCAGTGATTCAGTGATGTTGTGGTCCTTGCATGCTGGGTTAACCTTTTAAAGTGGTTTTATATTCTTTTAAATTGTATATCAATTACATTTCATGCTTTTTTTTTTTTTTTTCAGCTTGGTTTTTTCAAGCGACAAAAGTTTGACAAGAATATTACTGACCCAGAAGAAGTTGACAGAATGTTGGATAATGGCAAGGGATACCATGCTTAAATTTGTTACAACAGACAGTAATCCTCCTAAAGTAGACTAGATTTGCAAACAATATGGACAGAGTTACAGAGGTGCATGGGTACAACTTGTTTTGCATTATTACAGAATGAGTTGGTTAGACCTCCAGACCAGTGGTGTTCAGCAACAGAAAGCTGTATCACTAATTTGGCTGATGGTAGGGAACAAATTCTAAGAGGGCCTGAACATGTGATCCTCTTTGTGTGCATCAAGGGCTTGCCAAAATCAAGCTTTCACTCAGACTGTTTTCTAGACTTAGATGATCATCTAATTTATTGTTATCTTGTTTGATAACGGTTGTCTATAAATCCCTATTTAAAGTTGGCAGGAGACAAATTCCTGTCATTTCAGTTACTAACAAGAACCAACTTTGCTGTAAGCTTAAAAGCACACATCAGTTTGGACACTGCGTGGGAGAAAGATTTAGCTTTTAAGACCTTTGATGCGTAAAGGTGGTTTAAGCACATGCAAGTATTATGATATCATAGTGCAAGGTGTTCATTAAGAAATGCAGTATTAGAAAAAGTATTCTCCACATCTTGGTAGAAGGGCATAGAATCTTTGCCAGAAAATTCCCTGATCCCTGATGGGTAGTAAATACTATGTAGTGAAAGCTACAAGAAGAGGCAGAAATTCCAAGAAGCACATAGGGCTGACTGAATATCAGTTGTGGTCATAATGGTATTATGACTCTTGGATCAGCCTCAAACACCTGTGAGATTCATTCTTGCAGTAGATACAATCAGACGTTGGTTGAGAAGTAGTTAATAAGATGTAAATTTTAACCTTAAATCACAAGTACTTTTTTTTATACAAAATTACACTTTTATTGGTATAATTCTTTGGACATTTGGCTTGTCTTAAACCTTTAACCCATCCCAACCCAACCTCAGCTTGACTACTAGCTGAGAAGTTGGGTGATAAAAGTAAAGACAGTCTAAAGGAAACCAATTTTTGTATTTTTGTCTTGGCCATTTTCTTTTCCTGAATCATTTGATTTCTTTGGATCCTTGAGTATAATTATCTGTTGGGCTAACCTCTCAGACTTTTTTTTTAGTCTCTTAGTTTTAGAACCTTTCTGTGTGATTTTCCTTTGGATGCCATGTTTGCCCTCAGTGGTACAAGTAGTGTTATGAAGATATGTGCTGCAGTGATAACTAATCTGGGGCAAAATTATAAATTGTGAAAATGGGGGAAAGGCAATTCTTTTTTGAACAGCATTATAAATAGATCAGTAGGTGAACATAATCATTTTAAATAAAGCAGATGAATATATATTCATTACTGCTTATAAAGAGAGAAGATTGTGACCAATTTGATTGGTTGCTATACTTTATTGCGGTAATGTTAATTTTTACTTGATGCTACTGTATTTTATTTTTGACATTTTTCTAAAGTTGTTTTTCATGGCATTTATTAAGGGTAGCTAGTTAATGGGTACATTTCTTTTGGCATGGCATATATTTTTGTATGCTTATCATTACAAGGTGTCTAAAGGAGGATGTTTATACAAAGAGCTCATTTTCATTTTTTATGCCTTTTGTTTGTCAGAATAGACAGTATGAATGCTAATTAATTATTTGCCTTATTTTTACTTTAATTAAATAGCATTTTCCTCCAAAGAAGATGTATTTTTCACAAGATAACCAAACCACATATTGTTTGTAACTGTTAACAGTGTATATACCAGTATCTTCTGTATGTCCTCTAAATTTTTTATAACATTTGTTTTAGAGATTTTTTTCAGTTTGAATGATGAATCAAAGGAAGGGAAGTACATGAAGGGTTATAATCAATACCTAACTTTTTTCCAAAGTTAACATTAAAGAAGCCACACTGTTTCAACCCTGTAACCCGATTCTTCTGCGATTCTTCTTTCTGGTGACCAGTTACAGTTCTTTGTAAAATAACTGCGCCAATTTGTTGTTATATTACCATATGATCCTCTAGAAAATGAAATGGCATTTTCTCTTCACTTGTTTGGTGGATATGTATTGAAATTGAGATGAGAAGTTACATATTTTTCTCTTTCTGAGGTTTAAGGGCTTTGACAAAAACAAAATGAAAAATTGTGGGTTCACTGCACAAGAATGCACCATATGCCTCATTTGCATATTAGTGGTTGCTTAGATAAGACTTAAATGCTTTTTAATGAATACTCTGACAAATAGCATTGTTAAATAGTTGCATTAGAAATTTGAAAATATTAAATACAATATTTCTAGAAAAAATGTTTGATGTGGAGTCGTTATAGGCAGAGGTCAGATCATTCTTCTCAATTAAGGTGTGTTAACCCTTTAACTCCCAAGATCTCATGAGTAATTCTCCTTACTGTCTGCAATATAGTTCTTTTGATATTAGTTTGGAGAATTTGGTATTGGATCAACTAATCCCAAATTAAGATTTTTTTCTTTATTCTCATCAGTTGTCTGCTTGCCATTGTATTTATATTGTAAGGAGAAATTCTGTCTTGGTCACTGATGGGAGTTAAAGGGTTAAAACAACCTGGGTGTAGCAGTAAGTAACAAGAATATTCTCCACATTTGAATAGCTAGCAGCTCAGGTTATCAAAATTTAGCAGGAGAATTCTGGGCAGTAGCTGAAGAATCGTCAGATCTGTTCTGCCTAATGAAGTCAATGAACACCATACAGGCATTACAGTCTCACTCTAAAGTCAGTATTTGAAAGTTTGAAGCACAGTCCATAAGCCATGTCGAGGGCATGCTACAAACTGACCGAGGCTTCTTTTCTGCCAGTGAATCATAGATGATGAATTGAGTGCATCTGTAATGTTTAGTGTCTGGATCTGCATGGTAAGCAACAGGGGCTAAGGTGACAGAGGCCTTGTTAGATTCAGGAGTTCTAGGTAAGCAGAGAGATTCATCAATATCTGGTTTCGGTTCACGAGATAAGATTCTGCCTCCACCATATTTGACCAACTGTACTAGATCCTCTTTTGAAGGTTGAGGAGGGATAAATTCACCATTGAAGAAAAACTGGCATCCATCAAACAAACCAGGAAGCTGGAAAATATAATGAGAAATGAAAAGAGTTGTTTTGCATGTTATCCACAAAGTGCAAGTTGCAGTCTTAGTCACTCGGTATTTTCATTAAGCTTTTTTCACATTTTGGTTTTTGTCCTCATTTTTTTTTTACCCTCAATTTTGTTTGGTTTTTTTTTCTTAATTTAAGTACAGCTTTGGTAGAACTTTGGGTACACAAGTTCATCAACCACTTTGCTGCAACACCTTTCTTTTGTCACTTGGAAATTATAAAAAAATCAAAACATTGTTAATGGCTCTTTCAAGATGTTGAATGTAGTACGTAACCAACCTGCTTCAGAGAATTGATGCGAGCTCTTTTAGGTGCATCCATCATAGCATCATTGGTACCCTTAACCTCAAAAGGTGTTTCATCTACCCAGGTTTTTCTCTGCAAGCTTTTCAGTATCCCTACATAGAAGATGAGTGAGACAAATTGAGATTAAAAATTGAACAATAGGCAAGTTTTAGATCATTATTTTGCCAACAATAACTCCCTAAATGCTCTTCTTAATCAGCCAAGGAAGGCAATTTTCACGGAAAAACAGGAGGTTCTCTTTAGCAGGGACATAAGAATTGTAATATTTATTATGTACATTTGCAATCAAATGTAAGATCAAATCACCCACTCTGAAGTACTTTTTCTTAGGAGACATGCTTGATATAATCCAGAGATGTGACCTAGGGAAGG